TCCTCTCCCAGTGAATAATCTTGGATATTAACTGTTTTATGATATATGCAGATGATGATGATGGGGTGAAAGAAAAAGGAAAGGGAGGGGGGTTGATGAATGAATAATAGAGGAGGGCGGGGAATAATGATTTCTTGTGTACGAGGGTAAAAAGTACGAGATATACATGAAAAAGAAGCAGTCAGGCAGAGCGGGCGTGGATGGAACTATTCAATGTTTCCCCCTCCACACCCCATTCTGTTGCAACAGTAGTCTCGTCCGTTTCATACTCTCTCCTTCTTCTTCTTCAACTTTTTCCTTTGCATTTTAACTCTCTGATTTTGACTATTCCATCATCATTGCATTTCCTTCTCATGCATTCACCCACATCCCACCACTTGCCCCTACCCTCTCTCTCCCCCGCCCCTCCCCCTACCATCTACGCCTCTAATACTACTTTCCATACATATAAATTCTCCATCTTTTTACGTGACAAAGCGTATATATATTTGATTATTTATTGTGTATGGTAAATGATAGTGAAAAGTAGTAAATTAGTCAGTCTCTTATCCAATATGCTGAGCAGCTTACCTCAGAGAGGGAGAGAGAGCCCTAGAGAGATTGGCAGCCGCACTGCCCTAGTCTTACGGGTAATCATCCCTCTTGCCCTCATTTTCCACTCCGTATCTCTAAACGATACATCACCAAGATCATTCCAATCTCTCTCTCTCTCTCTCTCTAGCTAGCCCCTCTCTCTATGTTGGGTCTCCCTTTCTTTCTGCTTTCTTTCCTCCCCAGTTTCAGATAGAGACTTTGCCCCATATACAGTAAACCCTAGCCACCCAAGTCTTGTTTTTTTCTGGCCCCCCCAATTCTTCGTTATAATTATAACATACTTATCGCTGCAGATAGGGCTGGGGCGCTGAGTCTTTCAGGGGCAATGGGGGTTACTTTCGTGAGTTAATTGTGATGCGTCTTATGATACCAACAGGGAGTGTAGAGTGGACCCATGTATGCTGTGTTTCAATTTAAGTCTTGGCTCATAACTTAGAATATATTAGTGGGTGGAGTAGGACCACGCCCACCACAGCAGTTTTGAAGCTCCATTTCAATATCTGGGACTCTAAATGCTAATCCATCTTTTTAGAGCCGGCGAAAGATGTCTCTGGCTGCATCTAAAAATACTAGGGCCAGCGAATTGTATATGATATATGCATAATATGTGTGCGAAAAAACAAAACAGGAAATTAAAGAAGCATCGTGAAAGAATAAAATTGAGCGGCATACAGGAAAGTGGTGATGTGAGAACTGAAGAGGCAGCCCTTATTACACATTCCAAAGCACGAACTTCAGCTACCTTTCTCAACCTGCAAACTCACTTTTATTTCCTCAGAGACGTACTCCATATGATTTCTATTTGATCATCATTCTTTTGTGCTTAATTACAAGATAGCGTATCTCTGCAGGGAATGAGATTTTTATTAAATTCTCTCAAGTGTTTCTACTTGTCGCATGCCTCCTGGCAATGGAAAAAAACGAAGTCACGTCTGAGTAGATTAGAGCTGTACTATATTATTATTCATCCTTGCTGCATATGTGTCTTAGGACATTCTGAGTGCTTTTTACGGTTACACGAAACCAAAGAGATTGCCTCACTACGGCAGCATATATAATCTGTACGTAGAAGCAGTTGTTTACCGAGGGCTCTTAACTAGTTCAGTTGTAACTATAAACAAGAAGTTTAAATTTTAATCTTAGATTGTAAAATTTACAGCCAAGCAAACTTCATTTTTTTTTAAAGAAAGTTGTTAATACAAATCTAATCTGCAGGCTTGGGAGCCAGCTGGTATGGCAGTCTGGAAGGGGGTTCGAATATCGGGGTTTTGTCTCGGTTGATTAATTGTTCGTCATGCGCTGCGTGTATTTTTACTTGTAAGATGTTAATAATGATTTTAAATTATACAGCAAATGGCTAATCAAATCAAATCAATCCCAGTGTAAACTTTGGTCTCTATATTAAAAAAAAAAAAACTTGAATTGGAATTTGTCTGGAATGAGAACAAAATAGCATAGCAAGTGGGGTTGTTTGATTGTTTTTAATTTGGGAAAAAAAAGAAAAGGGAAGAGGAAAACAGGTCGGGCCCCTGAAGATTCGATTTCAGATTGATGAAAACCTTGAGAAGTCTAGTCAGGCATCAGACACTGAGAGAGCTGAGAGTTCCAGATATCTACTGTTCATCGCGCATTCACCAATCTTTTTGATATAACTGTTTTTTAATTTCTTTTTAATTACTTCGCATCAGGAATAAAGTATAAAACTCCATGTGAGGGTATGGATAAGATTGCATTGGCGCTGGATGAGGGCACATAAGAAGAAATCAGCCACACGATGGAGCTAATGGGGTGATGATACGTATGTATATGCATGGATTTAATTAAATGTAGGAGTGGGTGTGAGAGATAGATGAAAGAGTGACGTGTGGGGAGAAGAGTTGTCATATAAAGGAGCCACGTTCCAGGCAAACTAAAACTAGCACTGGCCTTGCATTCCATTTGGCACAACACGACAAGGCCCCCATCATTTAATCCATAATACTCCCAATATCTCCTATGTTTACCCTAAAACCTGCCTTCACTTCATCTTCTTCTCTCATTCATCCTCAAACATCTCTTATTAATTCCCTCCTCCTCCTTTATTTTCGATCAGTTTTTCCCACACTCAAAGGTGTTTGGATGTAAACCAAATCATGATTTTAAAAGTATTTTTATAGTTTACGGTAAATATGTAGAGGAGTTTGTCTCGTTTTGCAGAAAAGTACTTCTTAGAAGCATTTTTAAGCATTCCCAAACACCCCTTCAATCACTCTTTCAAAATCCACACGCCTCCGTCAATTAAAATCACCAACAATCTACTTAATTACAGGGGCTGTATTTAACAAAAAAGATTAATCTCTAGCAACAATACGAGGAATAAGATTCAAATCTTTGTGAGATTAAAATCACATATGATTGTTTCCCATATTTTTATCCACCAGCATTGAAGTATAAAAGAAGTAATTCTCATATTATTTTTTCAGGTGCCTGTCTGTGCGCACGACAGAGGTGTTTTGTAATTAAATTAATATATATTATGAAATGATATTCGGCACTACAATAATAGTAACAAAAATTGCTTTATACATGATAATACGTCAATATGTTTACGTTGGATAATTAATCAGAATATTCAACCAAAAAAAATGCATTACAAATCACTAAAAAATTTAAGTCATACAAGATCAACAAGTTTAAATTTGTGCTAATTCAGTGCTTTGGTTATTAGATAGCTAGTCCTCGTTGACTGCAACGAATTTAGATGGTTATTCGCCAATTATCAAGATCGATTGATATGAAGTGTATGGGCATTTCACTAAAATTTGGGCTCTGATTATTTTTCATCGCTGCAGTTAATAAGAGTCCAACGTCTGAATGGCGAGAAGCGTCTACCAATTTGGAGAGAAATCTACGGTCCCTTTTGGCATGGAATATTAAAAATAACAAATAGGAACTAAAATTACAATTAAAAAATTATTTAAATAGTATTTAGTATGAGTAATTAGTTATTACATGAGATTTGGCAAACCCATGAAGGTGGGATTGGGAAATACCATCGCCTCCTATGGTATTTTCTAACTCTACATACATGAGTTTGTCTAATCTTATATAACAAGCAATTTTTCATGTGTTAAGCATTTTTTTAATAAATTTTCTCAATCTCAATCTCAATCCGTACCCCTCATTTTTAATCATTCATACCAAACGTGACTTACGTGCGCGCGTGTCTGTAACTCTGACTAATTATATGTTACCTTATTTCAAACTATTAAATGAAATCCCAACTGTTTAGGTTTTGCATGAGCTTACGATTGATTCATGTGTAATTTATGATTAAATAATACATTTTTAGTTCTATTTATAAAGCAGAGAGAAGATATCTTTTTGTTCTATTTATAAATTATATCGTTAAATTTTTAGTAAGAATATATTATGGTGTAGATAGTTAATTATTTTGTTTGAAGTTATATATATATATATATATATATATAATAGGGATAAAACTGAAAAGTTATATTTTGATAGGGACTTAATGTAACTTAAGGTTATTCTTGATTTGTATGATGTTTAAGATTTTTCTTAATTTGTGTGAAGTACGCTAAAAGTGCTTTATAAATAGGATTAGTATAATCTTAGTTAAATACTACATTCGGTTTTAATTATAAGAGCTAGTTGACTAATTTGAAGAGATTAAGAAAAGAAATTAAGTTAGTTATTTGTAATAAATATGTGCTATCTTTTCTAAAATATTCTTACTAATTAAATGTATTGGTTAGAGCTACTATAGTTAGAAAGACTATCTCGAAAAAAAAGCATAAATATGGAAAACAAAGTGAATTAGAGTCTTATATCTAAGACTAAAATAAAAGTCAAACAAGACTTTATATTACAAACCGGAGGTAGTAATAGATAAAATTACATGACCCAATGACAAAATATAAATGCAGTTGTATCGACTACGTACGAGAATATCGATAACATTAACGATCTAAACTTCAGCATGTTCTCATACTGGACTGGGATTGAATAACTAATTTACTTTTTCTTTTTTCTTTTAAAATTTTTAAGATCTATCTAAATTTTTTATAACAAAAAAAAGTACTGGTAGCTTCTCGTCCATTCGGCGAAGAAAAACACTGGACATTATGTTTATTTGACAAACGTAAAAATTATTGTTATTGTCGGTTCATTTATGCCCAATATGTTTACCCATACACTTTTCTGCGTACATTTTTATATTGCTCGATTGATTTTTGTTTGGTTTTGGGCCACAGACCGTGATTCCAACTCGTTTCTCAAAGCCGGGCCCATGTTTATGTAAAAGCCCAAACCACCCTGCCCCTTGAGAGGACTGAAGTCGGAAAACGGGCTGTGAAATTCCAAAAACACCCATAGAGAGGATAAGAAAGGGCAGATTCTTATCGGCAAAATGCAGCCGCTGGTCTAGCCGCTTCTGCATTTGCTATCATCTCATGAAGCCATGGACATGTCACCCGAGCACCAGCTCCCTCTCTTCAAGCTCATTCTCCCTCATTAACCTATCAACGCCCAAGCACTCCCACACCTTCTTCCATCCACGACACCGTTTTCTCAGATTCAATCCCATCGCCTGTAGTACCCCTGATAGTGGCGGCAACACCAACGTTAACGATGGCGGCAGCGGCGTGCCAGACTCAGTTCAATCACCGACCATGCCACCGCCGGGAGCTGTGGAAGTACGCTTCAGAAGAAGGTCGAGAAGGCAAGCCAGGCAACAGAGGGGTGATGGAGGAGTCTCGAACGCCGCGCAATCCACCAAGGCAAAGGTTTCAGCGAGTTATCCGAAGAAATGGGAGGACATGAGCTTGGCGGAGAAGGCAACTGACTTGTACATGGGAGAGAAGGGTTTACTGTTTTGGCTTAATAAGTTTGCATACGCTTCAATCTTCATAATGATAGGGGCTTGGATATTGTTCAGGTTTGTGGGGCCGTCCCTTAATCTTTACCAGTTGGATTCTCCTCCTCTCTCCCCTTCTTCCGTGTTCAAGGGATCTTCCTGATCTCTCAGGAGTTGCAACTGCTGAGTACTGCTTCCTCGGGCGAAGAAATTGGTTTGCCTTTAATCCTGGTGCATGCCAGGATTATGTTAATTCTCACAATAGTAGAAGTACCCTGATCAGGAGCGCACGAGCAAGTAATACCTTTTAGTGCATGAATAAAGTTGGATAGAGTATGAATTTCATGTCCACTTATCCTGTTCTTTAATTTGCGCACATAAAAACGAAGAATGGAAGATTCAACCTCAATAACACAACTCATACCCAAAATCTTTTTTAGGAAATGGGAAATAAGTGTAGCAAGTATATATCTTTCAAAGGCTAAACAATTCAAAGCTGGAAATCCAAAATTCGAAGCAAGCAGCAATCTTAACTAATGAATCCAATGTTCCACCGCAACATTGGCTGTTTGCGTGTGACTTGACTAGTATGAGTTCGACAACCGCAAATAAGGATCACTCTGTTTAGCTCAGTTTGGATAACCAACTAAGATACAGTATAATCAATCCCATCCGCCCAAGGCTGAGAAGTTTGCAAAACAAAAGGTTCCGAGTTCCTAGAGCCATCTCTTAATGAGCTTAATGAGCGAAAGAGGGAAATATATAGTCATTTACATATCTCATGTCCTAGAATCATGGCATTAATCTTATTGTCAAATTAAAGAATGACCTTTAACGCTGTAATCCAGAAAGATAATCGTCCTTGCTGCAATTTGTACACATCCAATCTCCCAGAAGCGTCAGTAATGTTAGAACGCAGCCAGAAGGAAAAGAAGCCGTGCATATATTGACCAACATGTGCAATGCACCCCAAATACACAAACAAAAAATAGGAAGATCTCAAATGAGCTGGCAGCAAGACCTTCTTATCAATTTGTCACACAACATCAAATATCAAACAACCGTACTAATACAATACGTTGCATGTCTCAATGCTTGGTGGTATGCTCAGGACTCTGTCTCGCAGAGTAATAAGGTTCTAAAACAAAATTAAACAGCGCAAGGAAATAAATGAACCGAGCGAGATAACTTAACTTTGTTGTAGTGATAAACTTTAGATTACCATAAGACAAGGGGAAAAAAGTATGCCGAATATAGTCTAGAATTTGATATCGTTGTAATGGTTGCGGAACAGCTTGCCAGCTTAAACTAAACTACCTGGATCAAGCCATGCTTTAACCCTGCAAATCTGTCTCGGAATTCAGAGCATGCAAGTAACTAGCATCTACCGTTTTGCGAAACAGCGCTCAGTTGCCAGTTCAAAGACAATAACTGTCGCAGATGTAAGCCACAATGAAATAACGAAAGAGACCGTTCTCATGTGGTCATACGATACACCACAAGATGACTAAAGGCTAATTCCAACTTCTTTCCGCATATTGCATACCAATAAGAAACAAATTATACAAATAGATGTCAAGTGCCTCTGCAACCTCCCATAAACCTCGAAGGAAAATCCAAACTTTGAATACGAGCAAGAAAAATGGCCAGTAAGAAGGCCATCTCATGAACAGGGACTGAATGCTGATTCATAAACCATAAACACACTAAATTTGTCCCAGACCTGCCCACCTTAAGTCACAAACACTACATCATCTCATCACTTGAATTTAGTCTCTGATGCCCCCATATAAGCAGACAACTACATACAAATGACAAACACACTAAAAATATTTCATAGAACTGGAGAAAAGAAAAAAAAAATCAGAATGAGAAGAGATTCAAAACCCTGAAAATTCAAAATCAAGTATCATAGAAACACCGGAACAATCATGGGAAACTAAAAAGAAGGAACTTGTGCATATTCAATCGCCAACACTTGGTGGCAGTTGGGGGTTTTCAGTATCGAACAGACGGCAGTTGCTTATCATAGCGATTGCTGAAAAGCAGGAAGGCGTGATTTCAATTGCTGGAGAAACAGAACTCCCAATTCTTCTTCTCATTGGTTTGGATCAATGCGACATGGTTTTAGAATCAACGCAGCGTACAGAGCGAGGGAGAGAAGCGACAAAGATGAGGGCTTTCGGCTTTGGCATTTTGGCAAGTCAGGGAAGAGAACGCTGCAGAACGGAAACAAAATCCCTCTATCTCGGCAGCAAGGTCCACTGTCAGTTGTATCAAATGTTTGGTGGATATATAATTTTAGTTGCCATACTTTCCCCACCTAACCTAGAATAATTTAAAATTAAAATATTTATAACTTTGTTTATTTATTTAGTATTTTTCAGGTTTCACATTCTTCGAAAAAGGCATTGTATAAATTGAGTCTTATACTTCCAAGTTTCACACTCTTAAAAAATATATTAGTTAAGGCAAAGGCAAAAAATTTAGTTTTTTTTTTTTGGTTTCAACTGCAAACTTTCCAAGGTAATTGCCGTGATTTGAAGTCAAAGTTAATGTGAAAAACGAATTTGATTTGCAAAATTGATGGCAAAAGAACTGGATATTACAATATTTGTCTATACATTCTCAATAATCAATAATCATCCCACTTGTAATTTAAAAACCGGGAAATTGAGAGAGGGAGAGAGAGAAAGAGGGAAATAGAAACTGAAAAGCAAAAAGGGAAGGGGGGCAAGGAAGCACCAACTGATTATCTTCAGATTTTTGGTTCGGATTGCCTTCTTTTTCCATAAGCAAGGGGAAACGCGTGCCGCTTGGAACAGCACGATTCAACTCCGACCAGGGACGATCCTCGCTTCTCATCCAAGCACGCCTCCTATTTCCCCTTCCTCCCATTCTCTCGTCCTCAATTCCCTCGGTATGTTGCCCCTGGGAAGATTCCCTCTCAATTGTCTCTGTTTACCCCTCGGCTTCTTTATTTTAACGTTCTGAGCCTGCCATCTTGTTGTTTAGCTAGTCTTGGTGGGTGGCTACTTTAACTTCAAATCTGTCCATTTCTTTTTCCTGTACTAGGGTTAAATTGCATTTTTTAAAGATCACCTTACAGTAGCGGAAACCCAAATTTGTGGTGTCTGAATTTCTTCTTTCCTGTCAATGTGGTTATTAGGGTTTATGTTTTTATTCTTTTGTGAGTTCATTATCTTGGGATGACTTGATTGGGGCGTTGCTGTGATGATGGGTGCTGGTTGGAATGCTCTGAAGGAACTCAGAATTGGTAACAGCTCAAAATTTTACCTTCTTCCAAAAGAAAAAATTGGCTGTGTCAACGAATTATGCATCGGCCTCAATTGTGTTTCGCTGTGATGCTTTGTATTATTAGCAACGAAGTAAGTTTTGGCAACAAAGGTGTAGCTACACAGCGGGGACATCTAGTTTTTACAATAGGTCTACTTGGATCCATTTGTGTTACCGATAATCATAAAGTCGGTATCTAAAGGATTATTATAGCATATGTGCTGTACGGTGACGACATCATGAAGTGATAACTGGACAAATGGTGGATACAAACGTCCTGCTGATATGATTTGGATTCCATTGAGCATTTAACGTCTCATATCAATCAAAATTTTTTTCCGGAGTTAGGATGTAGTTTGATGATATAAATTTTCTGAAGCTTCATAACAGCAGCATGTATACATGATAGACTTTTTGTTGTGGACGATCTGAAGTGTATTTATGAGTCTGATATGGTTAAATTGTATGCATGATTAAAGTTTAGACTAATATAGATATGACAAAATGTGTGCTTTGATTTTTGTTTATTCCAGTATTTGGTGTTCATCGTATTACATTGCTTTCTTTTAGTCCTGGAATTGTTTAATACATATGGAGTCCATTCCAGCTATGCACGTCCCTTGGTGCTCTGTCATGCATTATAGTTTTGACATCATTGTAAACGTTTTCATACCATAGATTATTGGGGCTTCTCTTTCTTCTGGTGCGTGTGCTTCATAACTAGAATTATTTATATCGTGATTATTTAGAATGTCAAGCTCTCATATCTCTATCCAACTTAAAACAGTCAATGGCTGCAAATGAAGACATTGACATGCCAGCTTTGAAGCCTGAGCCGAGCCAAACTGATGAATTGTGGAAGCAGGACATGGAAAGAAACCAGTCTCAACTGGATATCCTGCAAGAAAAAGTCATGGAGGTTAAGGCCTGCATACAGGGTTCGGAGGAAGATGCAAAAAAGGAGTTAGATGTTCTTTGGCGGAGAGTCAAAACTACTGCTACATTATTGACCTATTTAAAATCCAAGGCTAGAATCATGGCTGTTCCTCATTTAGCCCACACATCTTGTGGTATCAAACAACTAGAGGGGGTAGGGCTTGTGGACAAAAATGGGATACCATTATCAGGTTGGTCCAGGAATGTTGATGTTTCTTCATTTGACAGTCCAGATGAAGAGTCATGGATAGGAATGAACCGGCAGCATGGTTTGGTAGATGAACAAGATGCAGCTTATATAGGTGAGATACTGAAGTCCATTCAGATGGTTGCAGATGTTATGGAAATCCTTGTGAAGAGGGTTTTGTTGGCGGAATCTGAAACTGCAATTGAGAAGGAAAAAGTCACTTTAGGTCAGGAGGAAATTAAGAGGAAGTCTGCCCAGTTAGAGAATATGTCTATTAAATTAGAGGAGATGGAACGCTTTGCTCTGGGCACAAATAGTATTTTGAATGAAATGCGGCAAAGGGTTGAGGATTTGGTGGAAGAAACAACCAGACAGCGACAGCGAGCTTCTGAAAATGAGCAGGAGCTCAGTAGAGTGAAACGGGACTTTGAATCTTTGAAATCATATGTTAGCAGTTTAATATCTGTGAGAGAAACCTTACTTTCATCGGAGAAGCAATTTCAAAGTATTGAGAGGCTGTTTGAACGGTGAGTATCTATGTGCTCTTTGCAATATACTTTCATTCTGTGCCTTTTCAAGTGTTTGATCTGCATCAAACTTCCTGCTTGATTTCTGTGGCTAACTATTGTGTGCTTGACGGCAATGCCATTTTGTACCAAGTGCTTAAACTTTGTCGAGTAATTTATCCTTTTGGTGGAACTTGTGGAGCATCACAGGCTGTTTAGTAGGAAAAAGGGAACTCCTCTGTGTAATGTTCATTGTACCTTTGAAATCATGATCTAGCAATCTCTAATTTTTTTTTTTTTTCACTTTTTAAAAGTAGGGATACGGCAGTCATTTTCTATTTTCAAGATTACTATTCTCATTCTATTTTTCATTCCATTTATATTCATTTTGTATAACAAGAGATCCTTTGTGATGAAAGAAGAAACATGGTTATATGTGCTGTTTTTGTTGCTTTTATTTGAACAAGATCTCATCCTCCAATGACTTATAACGTTACTGTTGTATGCTTCTTTATCGGTTTTCAAGAGCCACAACCACACTGCTGAATTGTGCAATTTTTACGAGTGCGACATATGAACATCCTACAGGAATGGCTATGCTTATTTGTAGATATGTGGTATATCGACTTCTAGGGATTTTCCGTGTTTGTCCTTCTAATTAGACGTGCCTTCCCTGCTTGAGTTTGGATTAGTTTTAGCTTGCATTTGGCCTGCTTCTCACTGCCTGCGGTATTAAACTTAAGACTTGGGTTCTTAACTTTTCTAAGATGACTAATCATTAGTGCTTTGCCTGAATTGCTGTTACTTTGTTGAGGTCAACTATCAATTTATAATACCATGGTTGGTCCAAATACAATCATGATATATGGAATTTATTCTTTTACTGCGCAAAATTTTTCAATATGTTGGCCCATGCACTTGCGACGCCAGTACTGCGCTTTTGAATGTGAGTGCTTTGTTCTGGCTGCTTTTAATTGATTCTTTATCTAAGCATTCTTCAAAATTGGTTGAATTAGTAGGCTTTTGCTGAGGTGTTTGAAATGGAAATAAGTTCTGGTCACAAAGGCACAATTGAGTTTTGAATATACATTCTGTGGAGGAACATTATGATAAAACGTTAATTTAAGCACTTGTGTCGGATTAAAGCTTGTTAGTTGTTATTATGTCAGTTCATTAACTCATTTGATTTCATCTGCAAATTTAGTTTCATCCCCCTTGCACGAAGTTCTGATTTATTTGGATGTGTATTGTCTTACTGCTTGACGTTGCTGTGAGTCAGGCTGGTTGAGAAGACTACACAATTGGAGGGTGAGAAAATGCAGAAAGAGGCTGAAGTTCAGAGACTCATGGAAGAGAATGTGAGGTTGAGTTCTCTGCTTGACAAGAAAGAGGCCCAGCTTCTGGCATTGAATGAACAATGCAAGGTAATGGCCTTGAGCGCTTCGAACATGTAGATGCTGTGATACCTTACTGATTGTTTGCATGATATGCGCCCCTGCTTATCGTGGGACTGTGGGAGGCATCCAAGAGGAGTTTTCCTGGGTAATGCAATGCACTTGTCATCATGATTGAAGTCCTCTCGTCCCGAAGGAGCAGCAGTGAACGGCTACTTACTCATCTCTTGTGCCTTTGTTTTACTCTCTGGTGCCATCATTGTGCCTTTTTGTTGGAATTCATCGTCAAAGACAATATGTACTCGAAGCGAAACTGCGAAAACTTGGCTTGCTCTTTTATGAAAGGACAAAAAAGAAAAAGGATTTAAGTTGTCTATATTTGCAACAAATGTTGAAGACCGCGTCGTGGATCGCCGTCATGTTGATATCATAATTATTGCTTGTGAGTGAACGAACAATCTTTTATCTTTCAATTGTTGAGTTTATCGAGTTTTTAGATTGAAAATAAAATCGGTGCATTCTAATTTTAATTGGCATTTAAAAGTGAAATTCTTATTTCTCATCAATCTTCAAGATGAATGAGCTAAAGATGTTGTATTTAACAAGTTTAGAATAATGATTATTTATATGAACGGGTAGGGTTATTAATAATTGAAAATTAAAATTCTGGTCGCCCAGTGCTACAAACTGATACATTTTTGCCAACTATAAAATAATGATATTAATAATATGAAATTTTAAAAATATATGAGAAAATTATTCGGGGAAGTCATGGATATACACTATTCATTACCCAAGCCCCAAGGCTCATAATGATCATGATTGTTGGCGAAAAATGAAATTATAATGATTGAAAATTGGCTACACAAATAGTTAAAAAAGAAAAACGTTGAAGGTTTTCTGTGCTACATGTAAAAACTAATTTGATTTTTAATTTAGTAGTAAATATAATATCCTAATCCATTTTATCTTTTATATTTATTTAATTTTTTAAAGTAGTTCTTATTATATACTAGTTGTACATGTTAAATATTTTATTAAATAATAGTTTTAGTTAATACACTTATTAGCAAGGGTGTTTAAAGGAAGATAACACTTATTTATTACAAATAATCAATTTAAGTAATTTTTTTAATTTACTCAAATATGTTAATTAGCTCTTATAGTTAGTACTACCTCCGGCTCTAATTATAGAGTTAGTTAACGATTCTAAACATAAGACTCCAATCTATTTGTCTCTCAAATTTATAATGTGTTCTAAAAAATATTCCTATTAATTGTAAGATATTTCTACCCAAATGTAGACTCAATGTATGTAATTGAATAAGGATAATTTAAGAAAGTAAACATGTATTTGATACAAATAACTAAATTAACTATTTTTTTTAATTTTTTGAAATTAGTTACCAAGGTTTTTTTTTTATTAAGATGGGAAGGTAGTACCACTGTACCAGTATTATTTTACGGCGCTGACTTCGTATGGAGGCCGTAAATGAGAAAATTAGAATGTCGCCGGGAACGGAACAGCCGTAAAGGAAAGCCAGGCGCAGGAAAGGCAACAGAACAGCACGCCCTGTCCTCTCAGCTCAGAACGACTGTCTTATCTCAAAACCCTAACTCTATCGCTTCTGCTGATTATCCCTTGTTTGTATTTTTCACGAATTTACAGTATAATGTCTCACTCCGTGGCCCTCAGAAAACAAGGTGATCACCAGCCCGATGATGGCTCCTCTGCCACTAAGCTGTCTCGTCTTAAAATTGGGATACCTTCTGAGGACGCCGATAAGAAGGTGCTCCTTCCCTCCCCCTGTAGTTCTTGTTAACAATTTCTGAACCCTAACACTCCTACCTAATTGTTTCCCTTCACGCTCATTTTGAATTTTGATTATTTTGCACCTTAAATCTTTTGTTACGGCTATGCATGGGTTCTGTATATTCTTCTCGATGGTGAATTGAGTTAAGAAGTTTGGTTTACGATTCTTGGAAATTTTACTCCTCTTTTTATAGACAGTTATCATCTCTGGATGTTGCAGAATGCAAATAAGAGAGTTAAAGATGTTGAAATTTGTGTTCCAATTGTATATGGTACTATTGCTTTCTACCTGGGCCGGAAGGCTAGTGAGTAAGTTCGATCGCTGATTGTTTGAGTCCCTTATGTTTTATGCGTCTATCAGTTTTGCAATTGTCTCTAATGCCTCATTCCTTCCAGGTCTCAATCGCATAAGTGGACGGTCTATGTACGCGGGGCATCCAACGAAGATCTTGGGGCGGTCATTAAGCGGGTTGTATTTCAATTGCATCCTAGTTTTAACAACCCTAGGAGGGCTGTTGATTCACCGCCATTCGAATTATCGGAATGCGGCTGGGGTGAATTTGAAATCGCCATAACCCTCTTTTTTCACAATGATGTCTGTGATAAACCGTTGGATTTGTGAGTAGTTTAGCTTGGCTGATTTGCCGAGAACTCACTTTTCTAGACGTCTTTTAAGTAACTCGAACATCCCCAGCCCTCCACTTGCGCGGGGATATTGAACGAATTTTGAATAGAGGACGAACATCAGTTAAAATTCAAAAAATAATTGCACAGCAATGACACAGTTACTTTGGATTGAAATTCTATAAATAGATATATATTGTTTACTGGATTACTGGATTCTTTTTCCTAGGTACCACCATTTGAAATTATATCCTGAGGATGAATCGGGCCCCCAGTCCACCAAGAAACCTGTTGTTGTAGAATCTTATAATGAGATTGTTTTTCCTGATCCCTATGAGGCTTTTCTGGCACGTGTGCGGAATCATCCTGCGGTTATTGTGCCTAGGCTTCCTGCCAGTGTTAATCTACCGAGTCCTGGTGAGTTTGTGTGAGTGCTGTTGTAATATTTTATTTCTCATAAGTATTCATTTGATGGTTTCCCCACCTCCCTCTTGCAGTTCCAGTTGAGAGTGTCAATGAAAAGGGCAGAGCTGATACCAAAGACCATCACCTAAGCCAGTGGTTCATGAATTTTTCAGAGGCTGATGAGCTCTTAAAGCTTGCAGCGGCACGCCAGGAGGTTGAACTTCCTAACCACCTCATTTGTGTGTGTGTGTGTTAGAATAGAGACTAATTATGCTGCATTTCTTAGAGTAACATTATGGTATGGTAAATTTATTTATTTGAAAACATCGTTGATTCCCTGATCCATTCTTCATTTATTCGGTATGGCTAATTGTTCTTTTAAGCTCTTCTATTTATTTATTTATTCAATTGACGTCAGCTCTTTTATTTTGCTCTAAGATTATTGTCTGCATTATTGTTGTTCCCGGCATTCTAGGGGGCTTTTATCGTACGGTGAATTTAATGAAGTGTGCGTGGTTCTTGCGTCTTGCCCTGTCCGGGATTGTGCAGTGTGCATTGAATGAGCACTAAGTTAGCTGTTCCTGTTGCATTGGCACTTGTGGACTTATCTTTATTTCTATTGAGAATATTCAATTTTTCCCTTTCCGTAAAAAAAAAAAAAAATCTTTTCATCTAAAATCAATATCTTACGTGCAATACCATGTTGTAATTTTAGACATAGTTGTGGCTTCTGAGCTGGTGATATTTCCAATGTGCTAGGTGCAAGCTCACATTGTTAAGCTGAGAAGACAGTTGAGCTTGATGGAGGGTTCGACTCCGATGTCAAAACCAGCCTCTGGTTATGATTTATGAATGTACATGATTTTTGTTTATATTTGTGAAATTAATTTCTTCTAATAGTTGCAATACTGAATATTGGTCCTGCATGGTCATCTCTGTAAATAAGCATATCATCTCAACACGAAAGCCTCCTTGTAGGTAGGTCGAGTTGAATCTTTCGATTTGTGTAAGGCAAGAGATTGCTCTTATAATTTCTCTGGGAAGTGAGTTGTACGTGGTAGTTGCGCAGCATAATAGATTATCTTGTTTGATTTACATAATATTCTGCATAATTATGCATTAGCAATTTTCGGTGCGCATCACTTTGATGAGCATTCTAAACTCACTAAATTTGGAATATCTATATCTCATTTGAATGGTTTGGATTTGATTTCTTTTTTATTTTTATTTATTTAAAATAATTATTTTAATATGTAAAGTAGAGATAATTTCTTAACTTTCATTGTTTCAAAAAATAATTTTTTCTATTTAAAAATAATTAATTAAAGATTTTAAATATGGACCATTCAAATCAAATATATATGATTTAGATCTAATAAGCTTAAAGTGCTAATCAAAATAATGAGTACTGAAACAGATTTTGTAGTATATGAGATGCGAGGTAATGTTGTATTTCCAAAATGAGAATATTATTTCGACAATGATAACATGTTACAAAATTTAAATCTAGCTTGGAGATATGTAGATGATCATATATTTTACCACAACTATTTTTTGCTGCAAATTGCGTGCAAAGAGAACAAATAACGAAAAGTTATGTGAGTGGTGTCCTGATAGCATCGGCGAAGGAAACATGAACGAGCTTATTACGTTAACGAAACACTATCTTTCAAACAGAGGTATTGAAATTAGATATTTAATTTTGTATTTCTGCATTGATTTAAATATTTTTGTTACATTACGAAGATTTGGATCTTTACCCTCTAATTACATTCATCCCATCGTCGCCATTTGAGTTAACTCAAGTAGTTATTACTAACATCTTTATTAACATATAATTAATCCAACAAATGGTATAATTAACTATGTGCAGAAATAACACCATATAAAAGGTAGGGAAAGCCGTTAGTTTTAATTTAAAAAATGATGCCATAAGATTAAGATTCATGGAAACTGACTATGGTAAATGGAGTTTAAGAGTTAAACCATTAAAAAGAAAATTGTTTCGCAATATGGTGCTCCATCGATTTTTCCCAGAGGCATATGGCATTCCATGATTCAAATCGATATGTCAGTCAAAGATTATTGGCCTATCAACTATACTCCGATGGAGTAATTGTCAAAAACAAAAAGGTTTTCTTTTCTAAAAAGGTCGCATTTATAAATCCAATGCTGTGAAAACGATTGTCTCTAATATACATGAAACTTAACGCAGTCCCGACATCGTATATTAGTCACTTGATTTTATTTATGATCAGCTTAAATTGTCATTAGACTGAGCTTCTGGTGGTAAATTGGAGAACACGCACTTTCTGCAAGGAAAGCAACATTGTTGCTGGCTTCCCTTGATTGATCCTAATCAATACACTAGAAGAGTCTTGACAAGTTTCCACATCAGATAATGATTATTGCAATAACTGATGCAGACAGAACTGCTTGGCAGCTAGTTCCGAAACTTGAGAGGGCCTTGATGGGTCTAAATCTGTCTTTATAAGGCTTTAGAAGACAAAAGGAGCATGTCTTTACATGTTTATTTATTGGACAGGGAGATCCATTTCCAGGCGCAAATTTGCCATCCATAAATAACTCGATTAGGTATTAGATCCTGCTCCCTGTTTCTCGACAATGATGACCCCCCCTTTTGTTTTTCCGTTCCCC